CTAACACGAATGACTTCTCTCATGTGGTCAATAGTCTCTCCATCTACTCCAGCCCGAATGCAAGCATAAACGAAACAATTGTCTTCTGTCATAAGTGCTGCAGTTCTTTTGTTCAATTCATTGAAAATTTGGTAGCGTTCAAGATTTATAGGTAATGTGCAAAGATACTTCCAGAACTGACCGCTTCTCTTCTTATAAAACTTCTTTTCACCAAGGATTTCATTCCAGAAGTCATCTATATCTTGTTTATCTCCTGTTTGTTTAAGTCTGTTCAATAATCTTTTCTGTCTTTCTGTCAGTGTGCTTTCATCTCTATATGGTCTCTTTTTTGGTTGGCCTTTCTTTACATCTGACATCGTTAAGCCTTCATATTCTGTTAAATCATACATCTTTATTTCAGTAAGATTCTTTATGTTTGTCAAGAAGAAGTCATAGTGCATTTCAACAATACCTGCAGCATTTGCTTCTATCTCTGATATAAAGTTCTCCTTCAAGAGCTGATGTAGTAATGTTCCAATATTATTGAGGTTTAACGTAGAACATTCATACTTTCCACCAAGTTTATAACATACCATCCATCTTTGTTGGGAGTTTATTTTAATTTTCTCTAAGAGTCTCATGAAAACCTTACCGAAATGTTTGTGTAAGTAGTCTCTGTTTGGTTCATCTAAAGCTTCGATATTAAAGTCAATGAGTCTATTGCCTGACTTCACATTTCTCTTCCTATTCTCTTCATCTTTCTTTAACCATCTCTCACCTTCTTTTGGTTTGTCGTCAATGGAACGAATGACATCGTTAGCTTTGCGAACTTGTTCTATAGCGCTCTTAAACATCTCTCTTCTCTGTTGTTTCAGTGTGTCGTCTCTTCTTCTTGTTTCACCAACGTTTACATTTGTTATGTCAAACATTTCTCTTCTTACTTCATGAGGTACTGAACGTCTATGATATAAGTCAATAGCAACGTCATTTAAAGGAAATGCTCTTGCATGGACTTCGTCCTCGCCGCGTTGCGGCTTTATGAACTCATGAATTCTATCATCTACTTCAAACGTTTCTTTACCTTTCATGGGAACACCATACATTTTCTCAAACTTTTCAAGTAGTTCTGTTTCAGCAGCTCTCATATCATTAACGAACACAACCTTGACTCTATTGACTGTAGAGTCATATCTTTGAGTTATATTATATGTTCTTCCTATCTTATATCTCTTTGTATTGAAGTCCTTCGGTTTCTGAACGATGTAAAGTAAGCCTTCACTGCAACGTTCCGTATCGAATGAACCATAAGTTATGAAGTTATATCCAACAACTGGGTCTAACCATAACAAAACTATTGGTATAAGACTTTTGTCAATGAGATATGCTGTAGTTCCATAGAATCTTACCGATATCATAAGCTCAGGATTTCTTGTCAAAATTTTCTGAGTTGAAGCATTTCTAACCCAGTGGTTTGTTTTCTTTTCAGATGGTGTTATAATGTCTGACAAAGAATATTTGTTGTATTTCTTACAGTATCTTACGTTTAAATCACCTATTCTAACCACTTTGGTGTCATTGTCTATCTTTCTAACTGTTTCAAACTCAATGTTTGACATTACTGTCTTTACATACAAGATAAAAAATTTTCTTAGAAAAAAATTAGCGTTATTTTTCTAACTAATGAAATTCATGAAATTTGGTCATTTTTCAGCAAAAATAATGTTTAGAGTAGAAGGTTAGATCTAACCTCATTTCTACCCTCATTATTTATAACTGTTTTACATGGTAAACGTTATGAATTCGTGAGATTCTAAACAGTTTTGTAGCTTCTATTTCTTCGCTGAGGATATCAAAAGTTTTAACAATGCCGAAGGTTTCTTTATACTTCTTCTTGACGTCAGATAGAAGGAAATCGTCAGCAGTTGGATAGTTTTTGTTCAGAAATTTTAACATATCCATTTTATCTTCTGCTGGCTTTTCTGCTTCTTTCTTTAAGTCTGCATAGTCGTTTCTCATACGTTCTATCTCTTTGACGGAGTAGTTATATTTCCTCATTGCTGCTTTACATTTAGAACATTTCGGATTCATTTTTGCGTTATACATTGAAATAAAACCAGCTAGAACAACTAAGGCGTCAATGGTTTTCTTTAAATCTGAAGCAGTTGGTTTTATCTGTTCATTCCATACCTTACCTCTTCTATCTTTATCTCTTATCTGCCATACACATTTTGCAGCTAATGAAACAAAGTTGTCGTATGTCTTAAACTCCCCAGATTTATATATGTCAGAGATGTTCTTATATACCATGTCGCAATCTTTGTCCATAACTTTATGGTTGCAATGATATCCTAAAAACTCATAGTTTACTTTACGTATGAACTTCTTTATTTCTACTGAGTCAGTTGCTTTGACTTCAATTTCGTCGAATTCAGGAATAGTGAGCTTTTGTTGTTGGATTTCAGGCAATTTGGGTAAATGGTCAATAATGTCCTGCATTTCATAAAGATACTGTTCATTTTCTTCATCCTGTGCGGTACAGTCTAAATTACTTGTTAAAAGTTCTTGCTTTATCTTCTGGATTTCTGTTTCAAAAGTATATGAAGAAGGAATGAAGCTTTTCATCTCTACTAACATAGATGTTGGATTCATGACTAACGAGTTTGGTGCTGTTGTTGTTTGAATTGTTGTTGTACCGATTGTTGAAATCATATCTTTTATACAAGATAAAAATTTTTCTTAGAAAAAAATTAGCGTTATTTTTCTATCTTAAGGAAATTCATGAAAATTCAAGAGGGTAGAAATGGGGTTAGATCTAACCATCTACCATAAACATTATTTTTGGTGAATTCAGCAAAAATAATGAGTTCATTTACTCACAATATTTTTGTACAAAACGACCCCAAACTTTTAACTTCTTTTCTGCAGCTTCTAATGCTATCTTAGCGAGTTCATATTCTCTAAATTCTCTCTTTAAATCTTCTTGTTCCCATTGGTCTAGTTCGTATGGAGAATCTCTATAACCATAACACATCTCACGTTCATGTTCTAATTGTTTTTCATGCATTTTCCTAACTTCTTCTTCAAACAAATGTTTTGCATTCTCTACTGTATCTTCAAGTTCTTCTTCATCTAATTTCTCATGAACTTTCTTGTCTATGGAGTCCATAATATCTTTGACATAAAATGCATACTTTACAGAGCACCATTCAGCAACAAAATGAACGAGGTCAGGATGTATGTAAATACCTTTGAATTCATTTATAACACCCCTAGTAAGCTCATAAAATGCTTGTTTTGAGGTCGAGCCACTTTTGGCTTGACCGTATTCGTTCATCCAAAACTCAAGAATTTCCTGCATTTTAGTACTATTGAGAAATCTGTTTAAATGGTTTAACCTTCTCGCTTCTCTTGCCATCTTTGTTGCATTAATGTAACCATCCTTGTCTCTACGTAAGACTTCAATACCGTTATAAGTGCCTTTTGTGAACGTTTCGCCATTAGATTTGTTCGTGAATGTTTTTGCTTCGACTGACATTACTGTTCTTACATACAAAATAAAAAATTTTCTTAGAAAAAAATTAGCGTTATTTTTCTAACTAATGAAATTCATGAAAATTCAAGAGGGTAGAAATGAGGTTAGATCTAACCATCTACCCTAAACATTATTTTTGGTCATGGACTTCATCCTCGCCGCTTTGCGTCTTTATGTTAAAATAAATGGTACCATTAATGATATCATGACTGTTCTCATTCATGTCTGATTTACATCTAATGAAAAAGTTTGGAAGAATTTTCTTATTCTTTCTGGCTTATTTTTGTCTTTCCAGTACTCCCGCTCTAATGGTCCCAGATGTGTTGGCTTTGACTCTCTCAAGTTCTTAGATGGTATAACATCTTCAACGCCTCCTTCATATCTTACTTTATAAGTGTCATCGTTTATGTTATAGCCAAGTATTTCAATAACCACTCCTCGCTTTGCTTCGTCAATGGTTTCAGCAAGTTTGCCATTACTACTTTCAACTAATTTGTGACGAGGATAAAACGCAATAGAGTCGTCAGCAGCTTTTATAAGATATCCATTACCTTGCGTAGAGTCTACGATATAATAGTTTCTACTTAACCTTAAACGTTTCTTTGTCAACGGTTTGTCGTCAAGAACTACACGAACTTTTGTACCAGGAATGAGGGTAAATTGTGTTGAATTTCTGATATTTTGTGTTTGGCTTCGTTTCTTTTGTATATACTTTTCTTCTTGTTGTTGTGTCATTGAATTTGGTGTATGTCCTGTTGTAGAATGTGTTGAGGAATTATATACTTCGAGAAAATGTTTCATTGTTTCTTCGGTAAAGTCTCGCTCTTGGTTTAAATCTCTGAGCGTTCTTATGAAGCGGTTTATGATGCCGAGTATGTTATGGTTATGGTCTTCAGTAGTGTAGTGAGTTATGTTATGCTTAATGAGAAAATCTGTGATTTCATTGCTGAGGTATGCACTGTCTTGGTCTGATGTTAAAGTACTTGGGCTATGTTCTGCTACAAACTTTTGTAAAACTCTTAAAACTTCATGAGTTCCTTTATTCCTCATTGGATATGCATATGCTTTACGAGTGTTAACATTAATGAAGATGAGGAATGGTTTATGTCCTCCTTTTCTGCTTTGAATGAGAGCGTCAAATTGGTATGCGTCAGGAGTGTTGGAGTAAATTGGTAAAAAGTAGTCGTAAGGGTTTATTTTTGTTTGATGTACAACATTTTTGTCAAAGAACCTTTTCACTTCAGCTCTGTTAGTAAATCCCCAACTCTTTGCAGCTTCATTGAACTTCTTAAATGACCTCCATGGATGTTGTTCGAATACTTCTTTCAAGCTCATTTATGTAAAGTTAAAGATTTTATTCTAGGCTCAAGCGCGTTCATTGAACGCGGTACCATGCGAATATAGTCACAAATGGTGGCATATAATCTTCACCCGAGCCTGTTGGATTTGTTGTGAAAGTGTGTGAATGATTTCCTCCCGGTTCAGTTGGTCAAAAAATCTTTTTTGCTGCATTGTTATAAGATGGAGATAAAACGTCATGGCCAGCTTCATACTCTGAGTTGTATAATGGATGGTCTTTTAATGAGTGGCTATGGTCGCCAGAAAAGTTTGTCGTTCCTGTATGAGTGTGTGGTGGAAGGTTTGCTTCTTTAATTTTCTTCGAACCTCCTGTTTGCTTTGAAGAGTTAGCACAGTATAAGAATTTGTCTACAATCTGCTTCCACGTACCAAAACCTAAAACTGTTTCTGGATTTGTTGAGTTCATTGACGTATAAATAGAACCAACAGGATATAATGTTTGAAGTATTTCAGTCTTTAATGTTTGAAGCTCTGTTTTGTCTGCTTTTTTATCTAACATTGCTGGTAGTTCATATGCTTCAAAGTTTCTGGCATGACCTTCAATGTTCATACATCTGTTATCTAAATTGTTTAGTGTATCTTTTACGCTTGTACTTGGATTCTCTAAAGGTGCACTTGAACCAAGGGTATAGTTCAATATTATGTCGTCTGCTCTAACAGTAGTGAAGGATTCATGTGTATGGTTCTTGTCGGCTTTACTGTCTAATGTAGCTTGAAGTTCATTTATATCGGAGATGTTGTGTTTATGATATTTCAAAACTTTGTTCATTGCTTCGAGTTCAACTTTGTCAGCTTTACTTTTAATAGCATCTTCAAACGTTATTTTTGACTTAACTCTCAAAGTAAATCTTGGTTCAACTAATACACCGTTAACATTGAAAGTAGAGGCATAAATTTCACCGGTATAACCAAATGCTTCTGGTGCTTTAGCTACATCATACTGTACAGTACAGCTTATGTCATAACCTTTAGCACGAATGTATTTATATCTTCTTTCATTAACATTTTTGTCTTCGCTTCATCACTTCGTGTTAAATATCCATGGTAGTCCGTTATAATCTGTTCGTCTGAAGTTATATAATGAACGTGGTTCTTGACTTTATCACTCAGAGCTAAAAGCTCATTTTTGTCTGCTTTTTCGGCTAATTTCTCATTAACATCATTCACTTCTAATTCAACTCTTCCGCCAGAACTCTTATTATCATTAATCTTTTTCATTAATTCGGTAATTACGTCATAAAGACTATATTCTGTTTTCGGTTTTGTAAATAATGAGTCAAAATTTCTTTTCATCATTACATCGCTGACATTAATGATATCACTTCCTTTTTCATTTATTCTCTTCATTAATTCTGCAATAATGACGAATATATAATCTGTTAATTTATTCTCTTCATCGAGGGTTATAGAATGTTTTGAAATTGAATCATTAACTCCTCTAAATAAATCAATAACTTCAGGATACACGTTTTTAATGTCTCGAATAACCCGACCAGTATCCTGTTGTTCATGTTCTTCGTTCCCGTCGTTACGTGGTTTTATATCTCTAACCATCATCAACGCAGCCATAACCGGAGGGTTTGTTGCTACTGTTCGAAAATCTCCGTTATGTATGGTATATCTAAATAATTTCTTTGTGTTTGTTAAAACATTTGAAACAAGTCTTTTAAAACCATCTACAAAATTTCCTGTTTCACCTAATGTTCTTGCAGCATTTACAAGCTCACCCATTCCCGCTTTTGACCCCAAAAACGTCCATATTGCATTTATTTCACTCTGTATAGTTGTCCATTCAGCGAAACTAACACCCGCATTCGCTAAGCTGAAAATGAAATTCAGTGGATCGAACTTAATTCCACCTTCTTTTTCAATTTCAACGAACTCACTAACATGAGATTTTAAGTATTCTTTCGTTAAAATTGTTTTCCCCGATGTTATGTCATTAACGAAACTATCACCGTCAAAAGTTAACGAATTCAATTTCGTCGTTGATGCTTTTATTTCATACACCGCTTTATCATAGTTTTTGGCTCACCTTCTTTAGAAGCATATGAAACATTAATGAATGAATTATATGTATTCGTGAATGAATTAAAATCAATGATTTTCATTAATGACGCCTTTAATGATTCATTTACTGTCGAATCCCTTAAAGTAATTAATGAACTGTCATTTATGAAAGGTACACTGCAAACCGTCGAGTTTGGATCAAATGCTGTAGTTGGTGCAGGAATATTAATGATATAAGTCATTAAATCATTAAGTGACGTAAATAATGTTGTCGTTTTTGATTTAATTTCTTTAGCATCTGTTATATATGGTAATTTTATTTCTGTAGTTTCTGAATTAAAGATATTCGCTAAAATGTTTTGTAAACTGTTTTGAACAGCTGTGTAAACCGTTGAATCCGGAACTCTTACGATTTCACCGTCCTTAATAAAAGGCATTGCACATGGTGTAGTGCTTGGGTCAAATCTTTTTGGGTTATGATTCAACATATATTCTAATGCTTCATAAACAGACCTATATACGGTTGTATTATCTTTTTCAATAATTTCACCGTCCTTTATAAACGGCATAGTACATGGAGTTAAAATAGGGTCAAACTTTTCATAGTCCTTCCATGTTATGTATTTCTCAGTATTTCCATCAGTGATAACAATATATTTGTCAGTAAGTGTGAGAGAGTATTGACCAAAATATAAACGTTTAGCTCTGTCAGCTTCATACGCATATGCAGCTATACTCATATTTTAATGAGAATAAAATGTTGTTCTATTTGCAAAGTACAGACCCAAACGAATACGGGACAGTAAAGCTACAAACAAACTTAGGTCTACAGAATGAGGCGCTTGCATTCAGAATGGTTGACTTCAATACTATCGCTTCATTCGTTATAACAGATGAAACAGATTTCATGGAGATTGAAATAGATGGAAAGAAGCACGAAATAAGATTTCACAATAATGTAGAATATAAGATGGAAACATTAGCTGGAGTGTTAAATGCTCTCATAAATACTACAATAAACAAGGATAACGAAGAAAACTTAATGAATGTTAAACTTATTGCAGGAGTTTTGAAGTTCAGTTATGTGAAGGAGTTTAAGATACCAAGAATGAGTCATAGAGTACAACTTCTTTTGGGTGCATACCATATGACATTTCCTTTGAAAAGTGTTGACAAAACGATTGAGATGAAATCTGTTCCATACGTATGTTATGGCAACTGTTTGTACATTGAGTCTAAAATAGCTAATGTCACAGGCATTTCAGGAGTTAATAGTAAAGGTTCAGTAGAATATAAGTCTTTCTGTTATGAAGGAAATTCAATGTTCATTCCAAACGTTCCTGTCATAGCAACTCATTTAGGTAAATGGGTTCGCATTAGTCCTCATAATTTGAAAGGCATGCAATTCAGACTTGTTGACTTTCAAGGAGAGCCTGTAGAACTGAAGGCACCAGTGCGAATGACTGTTGAAGTTGACTTTTTAGAAAATATTAAATGCAACAGCTTACAAGAGAACTCAGAGCTAAAAATATAAAGTATGAATGTTATGTATTAGGTCATGAACTTTGGTTGTTGCTGTTTGATGAAACAAATGAATTAGTTATGTCAGTCAAGAGAACAGAAAAATATTGTGTTAGTGAAAACTGCACCAAGTCAATAAGATTAGGTTTGCATTATGAAGATGAGTTCAATACTGTTGAAGAAGTTTTGGATAGATATTACAAATTGCTAACTTGAAATTTTTTGACTGACGGCGCAAAGCGCCAAGATGGGCTCAAAGAGCCCTCCTGACTGCTTTAATTTACTAAAACATATTTCAAGCAAAGTTTATATTCTGTTGAAAGTTTTGTATACTCGTTCGAATATTTATACTTAAACTCAACTCCTGTAGTTCCTGGTGTTTCAATGATGCGGATGTTACCTATTTTCATGAATAGTGGCGTTTGACCACAGCATTCGATTTCAGGGTCGAGATAGTCAATGACACATTGTTTCCCTGTTATTCGTGAGATAACATTTTCAAGGTCCTCCTTTGTTAGAATTATTTGGTTCTTGCTTATAAGATTTGTCAAAAGCTTCTTATCGTCTTTGAGTAAAATTGTTTGGTATAACTGAAGAAGGTAATGGTCTACGTTATCTGAAGGATTTGTTTGAACATTTGTGTAAGGGTTGTCGTTGGCTTCTCTTGAAAGAATTTGGTCCAGTGGTGGATACTCTAACTTAACATCTGATGTAGCGTTAGCGTTTGAAGCTGAGTTTAAATTCACGGATTTCAGCTCTGGTTCTTTCTTTCAAACACTCTGAACTATAGTTCTTTATGACAATATTGTTTGTCGTTCGTGAGTCAACATTTGATGTTGGTTCAATTGGAACATTAACGGCACCAGCTAAGATGGATTTGCTTCTCATTTCATATAGAATAAAAACCTTTTATATGTATGAAATGAACAATATACTCGACAAGGGTTTGAATGTAAAGCTAACGAATGAAAATATTGTTGAATTCACTGAGACAGGAGCTGTGTATAAAGATGTAGAACTACTGAACAAAAGAGCTAAGGGAAGAAGCAGGAACATGAACAAAGGGTGGAAGCCTATAAAAATTTATGTCAATGATGGCTCAGGAGGTTCAAACATAAAGTATGCAGAAAGTTATAGAGTTTATGCTCTCAAAGGTGAAAAGCCTTCATTTAAGAACAGCTATTCTAACGCATATCCTCAAAAGCTAACGGATGGGGAAGTGGATGATATGAATGACAGCAAAAATATTAACAGAAATGGCGACAGAGATGCATGGAATTTGTTTACCATCAGTCAATTGAAGGTTAAACTTTAAAACAATGTTGGTCGTTCCCATGGAATATTTTTGACTTTAATGGTATTAGTCATGATATGAATCTCAAGGTATGAACGAGGAGAGATGAGAGACTTATATGCTTCCCAAATTTCTTCAAAAGGTAATGTTATACCTGACTGTTTCCAAATGAGTTCAATATCATAGCGTGAGAAACCTTGAAAGATAACGAAGTCAGTTATGAGACGTTTTATGTTTAAAGCTAAAAACCTCCATGTTTGCATAAGTATTGCTACAGTTAAATGGTAATGTCTGACTTTAGTAATGATGTTAGCTAATGGTGAGTCAGGTTTGACACTAAACCTTTTCCGCGAAGTCGTCACAAACGAGCAGAGTGTTTGAAGGATATTTTTTGAAGGGGTATTTTGAAAGTTTTGACAGAATGTAGTTTGTAAGTCGTTTCATATCGTAAACTCCTGAGTATTGACGTAAGTGGTGTTTGTCAATAATTCTTTCCATCTCTCAGAAGTCTTTTGCATTCCTGACTGTATAAATTCAACGATGGCATAATATTTCCTCTTACGTCGAATGTAACGTTGAAGAAATTCAATGAGTTCACTGTCTGGAACTTTAACGACAGAGGCTTGAACTTTTGACATAAATGTTTTCGCTGTTGAGTCCATAGAGTCTGAAGTTGCTGATATAATGATTTGGTCATAATATGAGTCGTTTCCTAAACGCTCTGTTATGAGTATATGACGAATGAGGTTAAATGTCTTACCTGAACCCATCTTTCCACAATAGAAATACACCATTTGAACAGAACTCATAGTCCTTACTGAAAGGAAGAATAAGAGAAGAGTTAAGTTTGTCTGTAGTTTCATTCATGTCTTCATCTACGTCATGTATTAAATGCTTCATTTTATCTCCATTAAAAATGCAAGTCAGAAATATTCAGAACATAGCACCGAGTCTAACTGACAAGAGTATAAAGATATACTATGAACATGTTATGATGAAACCACCAAAATTCAAGAAAGTCAGTATACTTATGAATATCCAAGACACTGGGTAGAGTATGTAGGAGGTGAGAAAGCTATTGAAATCAGACAGGTTCGAAGTATTCCAGCAGGAAGAACAATATTATTGAAGAACTTTAATGTTTTGAGGTATAATGATGAAACAAAGAAGCAAGATAGTTTCCCTGTTGCTGTGTATGTGAACTTAGATACAGGAGATGACATGAAAGTTTTTAATACAAAGCTTCAAACGGTAGTGAGAGAACAACTGACTGCGGAAGGACATCCATTACCTTCAGAAGTTACCATAGCATATAATTTTGAAACAAACTCAATAGATTTTAAAGTCATCTCTGCAAAGAAGTCAGGTTTTACATTTAATGAAGCAGATGTATATTCGAATGAAAACTTCAAAGCTATTGCATGGTTAGATAATGACGATTGCTTTAAGAAAATATTTAAATACAGTGACTCAACGATGTCAATAGATGACCTTCGTGGAATGTTACCATCGACGTTTACAGTAGAAGGTTCAGCAGGATTGCTTACAAGATTGTCAATTGGTGGTATTTGGTCTCGTGAGAACATTGTTATAAAATCCAGTATAAGTGAATTTGCTGAAGAATCTATATTATGTCTTTCAAACTACATGTATTCGCCGCCGAAGCATTATAGTATAACAAACTTTGTCAGTAAGTTTAACATAAGACTTGTCGAACCTTCTTCAATGAAAGATGTTGTGCTACCTAAAGATGGAAAGGATGGACTCATTATTGAGATGATTTTAATAGCATATTAAATGAGCTTGTTCTTGAAGGTCATTCATGATGAAATAACTGTTGTAGAAGATGTTAGCAATTGTTCAGACATTTTGAAGCGTATAGATGATATAAGAAAGAAGTTAGATAGACCGCAAAGCGGTGAGGGCGAAGCCCGTGAGAACGCTTATGTTTCATTGACTTTCTCCAGTAACGAGAACTTTTATGAGATAATATTGAAGAGAGATGATTTTAATATGGTGTAAATGGTAGCTTGGGCAGCTTTAGGCGCAATTGGAACAAAAGCATTAGCATTTGGAGCAAAAGCACTTGGAGCTTATGACGCAGTAAATAAAATGAGTGGAGGAAGGGTTTCGAAGACATTAGATGCAAATAAAGGGAAAGATTGGAGGCTGGGTTGCAAAGAAGTTAAGATTAAATAAAATAGGGCTCATAAATAAAGCATCCAATTTGGTTGCGACTGAGTCAGAAAATGCTTTAGGAAAGGATGATGAGTTTGCAAAACACGCAAAATACTTTAATGACCAGATGAAAGGTGAAACAATGCATTTAAATAGATTCGATGGAACTAAAGAAAATGTTTCTTCTCCACCAGTAGTTCTTCCGTATGGTCCCTATGGAATGTATGGAAACCCTTACGAAAGACCATTTAACCCATTGACTGGTGGAAGTAACTGGTATCATTACGGACGAAGAAGAAAGACCGTCAAGTTGGAGACAGACGTGAAGAAAGCAACTAAAAAGAAACCAAGGAAGAGAGTTATAAAGCAATGAATTCAACAGGGTGAAAAAACAGGTGAAAAAGAGGTGAGATCTCACCACTTCACCTAAATTTATTTTTGTGCTATGTTTTCATACGTGTGAGGGTGGTGATATCATTAATTTTTAAGTTTATTTTTTATTTTATTTTTTATTTTATTTTTATATAAATGGCGAAAACTATTGAGATAACAAACTACAACGGTCATGAGTTCAAGAATTTGTTCTTCGTTCCTCGTGAAAATACATTCTATCAGATACGGGGGGAGAAAGGGTAAAGTTAGTTTAAGCATTTATGATAGCAAACATAATGGAAGATATATACAAGCAGTAGATACAAACGGTAAGCGTGTTTCATTAGCTTTGTCAAAACTTATAAACATTAATTATGACAGCGACTTTGACTCAGACGATTGGAGCGACAGTAGTGATACTGAAGAATATGAACTAGTATGTGAAGCGCAACAATGGAAAGAGTTGAAATACTTTTGTAAATGAGAACGTTAGTGTGAACGTTTATTTTTTCATGCACGTGCATTGTGTCGCGGGGAGTTGCCATGGGCAATGACCTGCGCACAATATATAACGTACAGAGAGGTGAGATGAGGTGGTTTATGTGATAAATGTAATGCATGAAAAATAGCGTGACTTCATTTTTGACAGTTTACAAATGTAAAGTGTTGCATCCTTAAAAACTTGGAAATATATACATTCATGAATTATCTTGTATATTAATTGAAAATCCATAAAACCCTAACAATATTTTTTCTTAAAAAACTATAAAAATATAAATAAAATTAATCGTTAAATAAAAATATTTGATATTAGAATTTTATTGGAAAAATAAAAAACTTAATATTTTAAAGAAATACTTAAATACTTGAATGTTTTAACTTTTACATTATCATATAGACTCTCAAATTATTAGCCATTTTGGCTGAGAACTATGGTCTGCGAGGTACATAGATAGAATCAGTACCTCGCAGACTATAGTTCTCTATATGGCGCCGAAAATTTTTGGTGAAATGCGACGACATTTCACCAAAAATTTTTCGGCGCCATAGGAAGAATTAGAGGGTGTGAGATACTATTACATGCTATAGTACTCACACCCTCCAAATCCCAATCAAAATCGCATAAAATTTGCTACTTATCTTCAGATTACCTCCCATTATAAAATATATCATTGCTATCTCATCGTACTATATTTCCACCCTATTGTATTTAAAAATATAAAATTTTTTGATAATATATTTTTATATCTTGAATTTTCAAACAATATATTCACAGATAATATAATGGGAAATCTATCTCAACCCAGCCTTAAAGTACCAAACTCCTGCTTGCATTCTCACTCACAAATATTAAACATCCATCTCCAAAAAACTAAATTCTTCACAATTTTTTTAAAATTGAGAACATAAAAAACGTATGCATTCAATAATTTAAGATACTAACAAATATTAAAAACTTCAAAATATCAGATATTAACGTTTTTCAATTAAAAAAATATCATTTTGCTTTTCAATTCGAACATAAATCGTAAATATTTTTAATTAATATCTGATTTACAGCATTATTATCCATTTATAAATCTGACAAATAAATGACAAAACCATCAGAAATAGTGTCACTTTCTGTCAAAAGTGAAGTCACGCTATTTTTCATGTACAACAGGTTTATGTGATAAATACTTTACGTGGCAGAAATAGTTTAAGGTTATTAGAAATATTGCATCTGCGATGCAAAATATACGTTAGTGGTTTTGTAAAGTGTCAGATTGACATATCTTCGGTAAGATGGCGCGCAGTGCCACCATACTGAAGATATGTATACTAACTCGCGTTTAGGTATTTCTATTTTTACTTTGTCACCTTTCTGAAGTTTGAAGCCCGGCATTCTTTCTTGTTTGTCTCTTTTGACTAAATTATTAAATATATAGTCTTTCTCTAAGTCAGGGTTGTTTTTCATTTCTTCGGGGGAGTGGTTTCCCAAACCTTTTTGTTTACGGTTATTGTAAATATTTAAAACTTGTCTCATCTTTGCCATGGAGAAGTGTCTATACTTGTCGTCATATGACATTTCATTTGCTTCACCACCTTGTGGTTGGTTTAAGTCTCTTAACATTTTTATACATCCGTCAATGACACCAAGAGCAGAATGGTTAGTTAGTATACATATCATGTGTACGGAGGCACTGCGCGCCTCCTTACCCATTATATGTGAATTTGACACTTTACAAAACCGTTAACGTTTATTTTACAACACAAACGACAACACTAACTTAACCTTAAATATTTACAAAGCCGCCAACCACTTCACCTCACTAACGTTTTCACAAACGACTTCACTACTGTAAAAAAATAAACGTTCTCACTTACAAAAGTATTGCAACTCTTCCCATTGTTGTGCTTCACACAATACTTCATATTCTTCAGTATCGCTGCTGTCACTCCAATCGTCAGAGTCAAAGTCACTGTCAAAATGAATGTTAGTAAGTTTTGACAAAGCTAATGAAACACGCTTACCGTTTGTATCGTATGCTTGTATAAACTTTCCATTCTTCATTCCTTCATAAACGCTCAAACTAACTTTACCCTTTCTCCCCCCGTATCTGATAGAATGTATTTTCACGAGGAACGAAGAACAAATTCTTGAACTCATGACCGTTGTAGTTTGTTATCTCAATAGTTTTCGCCATTTATATAAAATAAAATAATAAAATAAAAAATAAACTTAAAAATTAATGATATCACCACCCTCACACGTATGAAAACATAGCACAAAAATAAATTTAGGTGAAGTGGTGAGATCTCACCTCTTTTTCACCTGTTTTTTCACCCTGTTGAATTCATTGCTTTATAACTCTCTTCCTTGGTTTCTTTTTAGTTGCTTTCTTCACGTCTGTCTCCAACTTGACGGTCTTTCTTCTTCGTCCGTAATGATACCAGTTACTTCCACCAGTCAATGGGTTAAATGGTCTTTCGTAAGGGTTTCCATACATTCCATAGGGACCATACGGAAGAACTACTGGTGGAGAAGAAACATTTTCTTTAGTTCCATCGAATCTATTTAAATGCATTGTTTCACCTTTCATCTGGTCATTAAAGTATTTTGCGTGTTTTGCAAACTCATCATCCTTTCCTAAAGCATTTTCTGACTCAGTCGCAACCAAATTGGATGCTTTATTTATGAGCCCTATTTTATTTAATCTTAACTTCTTTGCAACCCAGCCTCCAATCTTCCTTTATTTGCATCTAATGTCTTCGAAACCCTTCCTCCACTCATTTTATTTACTGCGTCATAAGCTCCAAGTGCTTTTGCTCCAAATGCTAATGCTTTTGTTCCCATTGCGCCTAAAGCTGCCCAAGCTACCATTTACACCATATTAAAATCATCTCTCTTCAATATTATCTCATAAAAGTTCTCGTTACTGGAGAAAGTCAATGAAACATAAACGTTCTCACGGGCTTCGCCCTCACCGCTTTGCGGTCTATCTAACTTCTTTCTTATATCATCTATACGCTTCAAAATGTCTGAACAATTGCTAACATCTTCTACAACAGTTATTTCATCATGAATGACCTTCAAGAACAAGCTCATTTAATATGCTATTAAAATCATCTCAATAATGAGTCCATCCTTTCCATCTTTAGGTAGCACAACATCTTTCATTGAAGAAGGTTCGACAAGTCTTATGTTAAACTTACTGACAAAGTTTGTTATACTATAATGCTTCGGCGGCGAATACATGTAGTTTGAAAGACATAATATAGATTCTTCAGCAAATTCACTTATACTGGATTTTATAACAATGTTCTCACGAGACCAAATACCACCAATTGACAATCTTGTAAGCAATCCTGCTGAACCTTCTACTGTAAACGTCGATGGTAACATTCCACGAAGGTCATCTATTGACATCGTTGAGTCACTGATTTAAATATTTTCTTAAAGCAATCGTCATTATCTAACCATGCAATAGCTTTGAAGTTTTCATTCGAATATACATCTGCTTCATTAAATGTAAAACCTGACTTCTTTGCAGAGACGACTTTAAAATCTATTGAGTTTGTTTCAAAATTATATGCTATGGTAACTTCTGAAGGTAATGGATGTCCTTCCGCAGTCAGTTGTTCTCTCACTACCGTTTGAAGCTTTGTATTAAAAACTTTCATGTCATCTCCTGTATCTAAGTTCACATACACAGCAACAGGGAAACTATCTTGCTTCTTTGTTTCATCATTATACTCAAAACATTAAAGTTCTTCAATAATATTGTTCTTCCTGCTGGAATACTTCGAACCTGTCTGATTTCAATAGCTTTCTCACCTCCTACATACTCTACCCAGTGTCTTGGATATTCATAAGTATACTGACTTTCTTGAATTTTGGTTGGTTTCATCATAACATGTTCATAGTATATCTTTATACTCTTGTCAGTTAGACTCGGTGCTATGTTCTGAATATTTCTGACTTGCATTTTTAATGGAGATAAAATGAAGCATTTAATACATGACGTAGATGAAGACATGAATGAAACTACAGACAAACTTAACTCTTCTCTTATTCTTCCTTTCAGTAAGGACTATGAGTTCTGTTCAAATGGTGTTTATTTCTATTGTGGAAAGATGGGTTCAGGTAAGACATTTAACCTCATTCGTCATATACTCATAACAGAACGTTTAGGAAATGACTCATATTATGACCAAATCATTATATCAGCAACTTCAGACTCTATGGACTCAACAGCGAAAACATTTATGTCAAAAGTTCAAGCCTCTGTCGTTAAAGTTCCAGACAGTGAACTCATTGAATTTCTTCAACGTTACATTCGACGTAAGAGGAAATATTATGCCATCGTAATTATACAGTCAGGAATGCAAAAGACTTCTGAGGAGATGGAAAGAATTATTGACAAACACCACTTACGTCAATACTCAGGAGTTTACGATATGAAACGACTTACAAACTACATTCTGTCAAAACTTTCAAAATACCCCTTCAAAAAATATCCTTCAAACACTCTGCTCGTTTGTGACGACTTCGCCGGAAAAGGTTTAGTGTCAAAGCCTGACTCACCATTAGCTAACATCATTACTAAAGTCAGACATTACCATTAACTGTAGCAATACTTATGCAAACATGGAGGTTTTTAGCTTTAAACATAAAACGTCTCATAACTGACTTCGTTATCTTTCAAGGTTTCTCACGTATGATATTGAACTCATTTGGAAACAGTCAGGTATAACATTACCTTTTGAAGAAATTTGGGAAGCATATAAGTCTCTCATCTCTCCTCGTTCATACCTTGAGATTCATATCATGACTAATACCATTAAAGTCAAAAATATTCCATGGGAACGACCAACATTGTTTTAAAGTTTAACCTTCAATTGACTGATGGTAAACAAATTCCATGCATCTCTGTCGCCATTTCTGTTAATATTTTTGCTGTCATTCATATCATCCACTTCCCCATCCGTTAGCTTTTGAGGATATGCGTTAGAATAGCTGTTCTTAAATGAAGGCTTTTCACCTTTGAGAGCATAAACTCTATAACTTTCTGCATACTTTATGTTTGAACCTCCTGAGCCATCATTGACATAAATTTTTATAGGCTTCCACCCTTTGTTCATGTTCCTGCTTCTTCCCTTAGCTCTTTTGTTCAGTAGTTCTACATCTTTATACACAGCACCTGTCTCAGTGAATTCAACAATATTTTCATTCGTTAGCTTTACATTCAAACCCTTGTCGAGTATATTGTTCATTTCATACATATAAAAGGTTTTTATTCTATATGAAATGAGAAGCAAATCCATCTTAGCTGGTGCCGTTAATGTTCCAATTGAACCAACATCAAATGTTGACTCACGAACGACAAACAATATTGTCATAAAGAACTATAGTTCAGAGTGTTTGAAAGAAAAAACCAGAGCTGAAGTCGTGAATTTAAACTCAGCTTCAAACGCTAACGCTACATCAGATGTTAAGTTAGAGTATCCACCACTGGACCAAATTCTTTCAAGAGAAGCCAACGACAACCCTTACACAAATGTTCAAACAAATCCTTCAGATAACGTAGACCATTACCTTCTTCAGTTATACCAAACAATTTTACTCAAAGACGATAAGAAGCTTTTGAAATCTTATAAGCAAGAACCAAATAATTCTAACAAAGGAGGACCTTGAAAATGTTATATCACGAATAACAGGGAAACAATGTGTCATTGACTATCTCGACCCTGAAATCGAATGCTGTGGTCAAACTCCACTATTCATGAAAATAGGTAACATCCGCATCATTGAAACACCAGGAACTACAGGAGTTGAGTTTAAGTATAAATATTCGAACGAGTATACAAAACTTTCAACAGAATATAAACTTTGTTGAAATATGTTTTAGTAAATTAAAGCAGTCAGTCAGTCTGACTGCTTGGTTAGTCAAAAAAATTTCAAGTTAGCAATTTGTAATATCTATCCAAAACTTCTTCAACAGTATCGAACTCATCTTCATAATGCAAACCTAATCTTATTGACTTGGTGCAGTTTTCACTAACACAATATTTTTCTGTTCTCTTGACTGACATAACTAACTCATTTGTTTCATCAAACAGCAACAACCAAAGTTCATGACCTAATACATAACATTCATACTTTATATTTTTAGCTCTGAGTTCTCTTGTAAGCTGTTGCATTTAATATTTTCTAAAAAGTCAACTTCAACAGTCATTCGCACTGGTGCCTTCAGTTCTACAGGCTCTCCTTGAAAGTCAACAAGTCTGAATTGCATGCCTTTCAAATTATGAGGACTAATGCGAACCCATTTACCTAAATGAGTTGCTATGACAGGAACGTTTGGAATGAACATTGAATTTCATAACAGAAGGATTTATATTCTACTGAACCTTTACTATTAACTCCTGAAATGCCTGTGACATTAGCTATTTTAGACTCAATGTACAAACAATTGCCATAACATACATATGGAACAGATTTCATCTCAATCGTTTTGTCAACACTTTTCAAAGGAAATGTCATATGGTATGCACCCAAAAGAAGTTGAACTCTATGACTCATTCGTGTTATCTTAAACTCCTTCGCATAACTGAACTTCAAAACTCCTGCAATAAGTTTAACATTCATTAAGTTTTCTTCGTTATCCTTGTTTATTGTAGTATTTATGAGAGCATTTAACACTCCAGCTAATGTTTCCATCTTATATTCTACATTATTGTGAAATCTTATTTCGTGCTTCTTTCCATCTATTTCAATCTCCATGAAATCTGTTTCATCTGTTATAACGAATGAAGCGATAGTATTGAAGTCAACCATTCTGAATGCAAGCGCCTCATTCTGTAGACCTAAGTTTGTTTGTAGCTTTACTGTCCCGTATTCGTTTGGGTCTGTACTTTGCAAATAGAACAACATTTTATTCTCATTAAAATATGAGTATAGCTGCATATGCGTATGAAGCTGACAGAGCTAAACGTTTATATTTTGGTCAATACTCTCTCACACTTACTGATAAATATATTGTTATCACTGATGGAAATACTGAGAAATACATAACATGGAAGGACTATGAAAAGTTTGACCCTATTTTAACTCCATGTACTATGCCATTCATTGTAAATGGTGAAATTGTGTCAAAAAATAATGAAACAGTGTATAAGTCAGTGTATGAGGCGCTGAACTATATGCTTCATTTCAATCCTTCTGGTTTTGACCCACAAATAACTTCATGTACTATGCCATTCATTGTAAATGGTGAAATCGTCATGAAGAACGACACAACTGTCTCAAAGTCTGTTCGTGATATTTTAGACTACTTGCTTCATTTGGGTCCTACAGGATTTGACCCATATACAACTCAATGTCAAGTACCATTCATAAACGACTCAGCAGAAATAAAACTCAAAACATCAACAGTAGATGAAGCAATTGCTGACTCATTGACAAAACTTCTTGATATAATAATGAGGTTCAATACATTCAAAACAACATATGAAACCTTTAAGAAAAATTATGACGATTTCTTTAAAATTACATACATCGAGCCTTCTGCTCCTCAAACACCAGACTATGCATGCCTTAAAATAAAGGCTGCACGGACACAAGTTAGAACATTGACTTTTGACGGAGATAATATCGTTAGAGACGTTACACCTGGAGACACATTACTTACGAAAGAATACTTAAAAAGTCATATCAGTGATTTTGTGAAAGTAGAACAAAGTGGAGCAGGTAAGAGTTGGTTAGGGTGGTTGTTTACTTTATTTTCATCAGGTGTAACAACCGCATCTCTTATAACCATGCAAAGTGAGATATATGCACTCTGGGCTTTTCTTGGTGGCATAGATAGCATGAAGTTTTATGTTGAGTTTGCTAAATTACATGGAAATACAGGAAGTTTCTTTGACGGTCTCAAAAATTTATGGGGTAAAGTAACATATAATACAAAGAAACTAACTAACTGGGCACTCAAACGTAAAAATACGTTCGACGGACTTGCTTACAACCCTCGTCTCGGAATTATTGAACCAATTAATTTACATCCTTTAATGGCAGCAAGAGATTTAGATGAAGGAGGACAAGTGGTTCAAACAATTGTTGAAAATCTACTGAATATATATCCTGAGTTTAAAGAAGTTTTAACAGCAACAAACACAACAATTCGTGAAAACTGTATAGTGTTTAACACTGAAGATAATATTTTAGACTATATGTTCGTTGTTTTAGGTCAGTTAGCTAAGACAATAAAAGAGAAAGGTATTGACTCAGTCATAACAGTTGAAGATGTAATGTTAAGAAAGACTTTTGACTCATTGTTTCAAGAACCAAAAGAAGTAGTTAGTCTTTATGAAGTTTTGAACGCAATGCTGACAAAAATAAATGAAAGTGACACTGGTAACATAAGTGAAGCAAAAGTTGTTGAACTTCTTTCACAAAAAGCAGAGAAAAACCATGTTCATTATATAAGTTCAGACGAACAGATTATAACGGACTACCATGGATATTTAACACGAAGTGATGAAGCGAAGACAAAAAATGTTAATGAAAGAAGATATAAATACATTCGTGCTAAAGGTTATGACATAAGCTGTACTGTACAGTATGATGTAGCTAAAGCACCAGAAGCATTTGGTTATACCGGTGAAATTTATGCCTCTACTTTCAATGTTAACGGTGTATTAGTTGAACCAAGATTTACATTGAGAGTTAAGGCAAAAATAACGTTTGAAGATGCTATTAAAAGTAAAGCTGACAAAGTTGAACTCGAAGCAATGAACAAAGTTTTGAAATCTCATAAACACAATATCTCCGATATAAATGAACTTCAAGCTACATTAAATAGTAAAGCTGACAAGAACCATACACATGAATCCTTCACTACTGTTAGAGCAGACGATGTAATATTGAACTATACCCTTGGTTCAAGTGCACCTTTAGAGAATCCGAGTACAAGCGTAAAAGATACACTAAACAATTTAGATAACAGATGTATGAACATTGAAGGTCATGCCAGAAACTTTGAAACATACGATCTACCAGCAATGTTAGATAAGAAAGCTGACAAAGAACATACACATAAATCCTTCACTACTGTTAGAGCAGACGACATAATATTGAACTATGATTTGGTTCAAGTGCACCTTTAGAGAATCCGAGTACAAGCGTAAAAGATACACTAAACAATTTAGATAACAGATGTATGAACATTGAAGGTCATGCCAGAAACTTTGAAACATACGATCTACCAGCAATGTTAGATAAGAAAGCTGACAAAGAACATACACATAAATCCTTCACTACTGTTAGAGCAGACGACATAATATTGAACTATGATTTGGGTTCAAGTGCACCTTTAGAGAATCCGAGTACAAGCGTAAAAGATACACTAAACAATTTAGATAACAGTTGCAGGAATATCGAAGGTCATGCCAGAAACTTTGAAGCATATGAACTACCAGCAATGTTAGATAAGAAAGCCGACAAAACTTATGTAGATGAAAATTATGCAAAGAAGTCGGAAGTAAATGCTGCGCTTAATGGAAAAGCTGACAAGAACCATACACATGAAGAATTTCAAACAATCAAGATTAAAGAAATTAAAGCATGCATCGAAATAGTAACAAAAACAGGAAGAAACGGTGCAACTGTACAAGAACAAAGAATTTATCCTCCTACTTTTCCTAATGGTTTAATAACAAACAATATAAATATTGTAGATGACAAAGGATTTATAAATGTTAAACATGAACTTCAAACAATGAAGACTCAGATTCTTGAAACCATATATCCTATAGGCTCTATTTATACGTCAATGAACTCAACAAATCCAGCAAGTGTTTTAGGTTTTGGTACATGGCAGCAGATTGTAGACAAATTCTTATACTGTGCTAACTCTTCAAAGCAAACAGGAGGTTCGAAGAAAATTAAAGAAGCAAACCTTCCACCGCACACTCATACAGGAACTACAAACTTTTCTGGCGACCATAGCCACTCATTAAGAGACCACCCATTATACAACTCAGACTATAAAGCTGGCAATGACGTTTTATCTCCATCTTATAACAATGCAGCAAAAAAGACTTTTCGACAACTGAACCGGAGGAAATCATGTCCATACTTTCACAACAAATCCAACAGGCTCGGGTGCAGATTATATGCCACCATTTGTGACTATATTCGCATGGTATAGAGTTCAATGAACGCGCTTGAGCCTAGAATAAAATCTTTAACTTTACACAAATGAGCTTGAAAGAAGTATTCGAACAACATCCATGGAGGTCATTTAAGAAGTTCAATGAAGCTGCAAAGAGTTGGGGATTTACTAACAGAGCTGAAGTGAAAAGGTTCTTTGACAAAAATGTTGTACATCAAACAAAAATAAACCCTTACGACTACTTTTTACCAATTTACTCCAACGCTCCTGACGCATACCAATTTGACACTCTCATTCAAAGCAGAAAAGGAGGACATAAACCATTCCTCATCTTCATTAATGTTAACACTCGCAAAGCATATGCATATCCAATGAAAAATAAAGGAACTCGTGAAGTGTTAAGAGTTTTACAAAAGTTTGTAGCAGAACATAGCCCAAGTACTTTAACATCAGACCAAGACAGTGCATACCTCAGCAATGAAATCACAGATTTTCTCATTAAGCATAACATAACTCACTACACTACTGAAGACCATAACCATAACATACTCGGCATCATAAACCGCTTCATAAGAACGCTCAGAGATTTAAACCAAGAGCGAGACTTTACCGAAGAAACAATGAAACATTTCTCGAAGTATATAATTCCTCAACACATTCTACAACAGGACATACACCAAATTCAATGACACAACAACAAGAAGAAAAGTATATACAAAAGAAACGAAGCCAAACACAAAATATCAGAAATTCAACACAATTTACCCTCATTCCTGGTACAAAAGTTCGTGTAGTTCTTGACGACAAACCGTTGACAAAGAAACGTTTAAGGTTAAGTAGAAATATTATATCGTAGACTCTACGCAAGGTAATGGATATCTTATAAAAGCTGCTGACGACTCTATTGCGTTTTACCCTCGACATAAATTAGTCGAAAGTAGTAATGGCAAACTTGCTGAAACCATTGACGAAGCAAAGCGAGGAGTGGTTATTGAAATACTTGGCTATAACATAAACGATGACACTTATAAAGTAAGATATGAAGGAGGCGTTGAAGATGTTATACCATCTAAGAACTTGAGAGAGTCAAAGCCAACACATCTGGGACCATTAGAGCGGGAGTACTGGAAAGACAAAAATAAGCCAGAAAGAATAAGAAAATTCTTCTAAACTTTTTCATTAGATGTAAATCAGACATGAATGAGAACAGTCATGATATCATTAATGGTACCATTTATTTTTGTCATAAATTTACACCAAAAATATATTTTAGGTGAAGAGGTGAGATCTCACCCGTTTTTTCACCTCTTTTTTCACGCCTCAGATGAATTTTCATGAATTTCCTTAAGATAGAAAAATAAAGTTAGTTTTATTTTTATTTATTTTTTTATTTTGTATAAAAGATATGATTTCAACAATCGGCACAACAACAATTCAAGCCACGAACGGCGGGACTCTGTCCACAACTACAGCACCAAACTCGCTAGTCATGAATCCTACGTCAATGTTGGTAGAGATGAAAAGCTTTATTCCTTCTTCATATACTTTTGAAACAGAAATCCAGAAGATAAAGCAAGAACTTTTAACAAGTAATTTAGACTGTAGTGCGAAAGATGAAACAAATGAACAGTATCTTTATGAAATGGAGGACCTCATCGACCATTTGCCTAAACTACCTGAAATTCAGCAGCAAAAACTAACTATTCCTGAATTCGACGAAATTGAAGTCAAAGCAACTGACTCAGTAGAAATTAAGAAATTCATACGTAAAGTAAATTATGAATTCCTTGGTTTTCATTGCAACCATAAAGTTATGGACAAAGATTGCGACATGGTTTATAAAAATATTTCTGACCTTTACAAATCCGAAGAATTTAAGACATACGATAACTTTGTTTCATTAGTTGCAAAATGTGTATGGCAGATAAGAGATAAAGATAGAAGAGGTAAAGTATGGAATGAACAGATAAAACCAGCAGCTTTTGAGTTAAAGAAAACCATTGACGCCTTAGTTGTTCTAGCTGGTTTTATTTCAATGTATAACGCAAAAAAATGCCGCAATGTTCAAAATGTAAAGCAGCAATAAGAAAATATAACTACTCAGTCAAAGAGATAGAAAGAATGCGAAACGACTATGCAGACTTAAAGAAAGAAGCAGAAAAGCCAGCAGAAGATAAAATGGATATGTTGACATTTCTTAATAAAAACTATCCAACAGCAGAAGATTTCCTTCTATCTGACGTCAAGAAGAAGTATAAAGAAACTTCGGCATTGTTAAAACATTCGATGTACTAAAAGAAGAAATAGAAGCTACGAAATTGTTTAGGATTTCAAATATACATCGTACAATTCATGTAAAACGCTTGTGAAAAAAGAGGTGAAAAACAGGTGAAAAAAGGTGAGATCTCACCTCTTCACCTCAACATTATTTTTATTGAATTCAGCACAAAAATAATGAATTTCATTAGTTATTTTGTATGTAAAGACAGTAATGACAAACATTGAGTTTGAAACAGTTAGAAAGATAGACAATGACACCAAAGTGGTTAGAATAGGTGATTTAAACGTAAGATACTCAAAGAAATACAACAAATATTCTTTGTCAGACATTATATCTCCATCTGGAAAAAAACAAACGACTGGGTTAGAAATGCTTCAACTCAGAAAATTTTGACAAGAAATCCTGAGCTTATGATATCAGTAGCATTTCATGGAACAAGAGCATATCTTATAGACAAAAGTCTTATACCAATAGTTTTGTTATGGTTAGACCCAGTTGTTGGATATAACTTCATAACATATGGTTCATTCGATACGGAACGTTGCAGTGAAGGCTTACTTTACATCGTTCAGAAACCGAAGGACTTCAACACAAAAAGATATAAGATAGGAAGGACATATAATATAACTCAAAGATATGACAGTACAGTCAATAGAGTCAAGGTTGTGTTTGTTAATGATATGAGAGCTGCTGAAACAGAACTGCTTGAAGTTTTTGAGAAAATGTATGGTGCTCCCACGAAAGGTAAAGAAACGTTTGAAGTAGATGAGATAGATAAAGCTATAAAATTATTTGACGAAGTTGCTGAAAAATACATGTAAAGCGTTTATTTTTGGTCTTTTGTGAAAGTCAGAAAATAAAGTTAGTTTTATTTTTATTTATTTTTTTATTTTGTATGTAAAGACAGTAATGACAACATCAGAGAACACAACAACAGTTATAGTCCATGAAGCTATAAATGAAGAATACGAATACATACAATATAACAAACAACTTCGCTCATTCGTTCGTCAAAGACGATATGTACCAAATGCAAAGTATAATGAATGCTCTTCGTTCTACAAAGCAAGCATATCATTGGTTTGAAAACCAACAGACAAAAGAACTTTTAGAAGAATTTCCTCATATGATTGCTTCCCTCGGAAAACCGAGAGAAGAGATTCCGTACGAAAATCGCAAGAATTTGGCTCCTGGTTTGAAAGGTTATTATGTTCATAGACTTTTAGTAAACGCTGTAGCAATGTGGGCTTCACCTCGTTATGCTTGTTATATTTTCATGATGTTAGATGAACTATATAAAGCAGAACGTGGAGAGATGGAAAAGAAACTTCAAGCAAAAGATGAAGTCATTGAATCCAAAGACAAAAGCATACAGAAAAGAATACCGCGTTCGTACCAAAAGGAAAGGAAAAGAGTTATAAGTATATGATATATACTGAAGAGTTGGAGAAAGAAGAAGATAAAGATGTGGTTATGTTGCATTTAGTCAGAAGAAACAACAAGAGCTTTTATGACTTAGCTAAAATATATAAATCTGACAGAAACTGGTTCTATCGTGAAAACTTACCGATTTCAATGACACCGAATGAGCAAATAAAGGAAATTGTCAAAAATACTCTTCCTCAAACACACTATGACATCAAAGGTTGCACAATACTTACATTCAAAGAAGACTTAACATTACTGAAGGAAAAAATAACAGAATATTTCGATAACTTCAAAGAGGAAGAATAAAAAAATCTAAGCTAATTTTATTTTTTTATAAAATTTTATCTCATATGAAAGAACATGAATTTAGAATATTCGGAACTCATGACAGAAGAAGAGAACGAACAACATGTAAAAGATTATGCAAAATTTCTGAAGACATACAAAGCATTTAAACAATATCTAAATGCTTCTAAAGATTATGCAAAATTTCTGAAGGTATATAAAGCTTATGAAAAAGCGTATGAAAAGTTTATACATTGGGGAATTGTTGTAAAATATCGATATGAAGACTAACCAAAAATATATTTTTGCTTAAATAGCTTCAGGGTCTATTTCTTCAACCATTTCACTTCCTTCGTCAATGTCAATAGAAGCTTCTTCAACCTTTGGTAAGAATTTCTGTATAACATCTTTGTTCGTTATTGTCTTCAGAGATGAAGGATAATATTTCACATTTGTTTCACCCTTCTTATATTCTTTCTGTTCGGAAAGATTTAAAGCAATACTGAAGAAGTCAATTAGAGTTCTTTATAACAGTATAATGAGTATCTTTGACATTCACGAAGAAACTCTTTTGTTTCAAAACTACTGCTAACTCTTGTGAAGTATAACGTTTGCGGTCAATGACGATAGCTAATGGTCTGACATACTGACCAAACTTAGATTCTTTCACAAACTTCTTGTTAAAGATAACATTAACATTTGAAGCATTATTGAACTCATTCTTGATGGCAGTAGCGAGAGCATTGTATGAAAAGAACTTGCAATCTTGCATGTGTTTCATTAAAATAAAAATATTAAATTATTTTGAAAAATAACTTAAAAAATCTAATCTAATTTTTTCAAAAAATATTTTTTTATTTCCTACTAAAGATGTATCGGAAGTTGTCTAAGTTAGAACACTCGGAAATAAAACAACTTCTTACAGAAGCTAACATAGATGTTGCAAAACATTACGCAACAAACAAAAAAGCACTCGCTGACTTCATTAAAGACTATAATGGTGCAATAAGTTATGATAGAATTCATGAGTTCATAAAGCCGCAACGCGGCGAGGACGAAGTCCATGCAAGAGCATTTCCTTTAAATGACGTTGCTATTGACTTATATCATAGACGTTCAGTACCTCATGAAGTAAGAAGAGAAATGTTTGACATAACAAATGCAAACGTTGGTGAAACAAGAAGAAGAGACGACACACTGAAACAACAGAGAAGAGAGATGTTTAAGAGCGCTATAGAACAAGTTCGCAAAGCTAACGATGTCATTCGTTCCATTGACGACAAACCAAAAGAAGGTGAGAGATGGTTAAAGAAAGATGAAGAGAATAGGAAGAGAAATGTGAAGTCAGGCAATAGACTCATTGACTTTAACATCGAAGCTTTAGATGAACCAAACAGAGACTACTTACACAAACATTTCGGTAAGGTTTTCATGAGACTCTTAGAGAAAATTAAAATAAACTCACAACAGAGATGGATGGTATGTTATAAACTTGGTGGAAAGTATGAATGTTCTACGTTAAACCTCAATAATATTGGAACATTACTACATCAGCTCTTGAAGGAGAACTTTATATCAGAGATAGAAGCAAATGCTGCAGGTATTGTTGAAATGCACTATGACTTCTTCTTGACAAACATAAAGAATCTTACTGAAATAAAGATGTATGATTTAACAGAATATGAAGGCTTAACGATGTCAGATGTAAAGAAAGGCAAACCAAAAAAGAGACCATATAGAGATGAAAGCACACTGACAAATGACCAGAAAGCCATTTTGGAAGCTCTTAAGCAAACAGGAAACCCAGCACTTATAGAAAGCTTTTGGAAAGATAATGGTGAAAAGAAGTTTTATAAGAAGAGAAGCGGTCAGTTCTGGAAGTATCTTTGCACATTACCTATAAATCTTGAACGCTACCAAATCTTCAATGAATGAACAAAAGAACTGCAACACTTATGACAGAAGACAATTGTTTCGTTTATGCTTGCATTCAGGCTGGAGTAGATGGAGAGACTATTGACCACATGAGAGAAGTCATTCGTGTTAGAGACTTTCCTCAAAGTAAAGTACAAGAAATTTCTGACGCAACAGGTATAGCATTTAATGTTACCATTGGTTACTTCAATGACTCAAGACATAATGAAATAAAGAGATACATACCAAAAGAATGTGAAACTGTTAGAACTATTGACTTACTTCTTGTTGAAGACCACTACATGCTAAATGAAAGATTACCAATGACAACATATTTCATTCGCAACTATATAGAAATCTTCAAAGTGTGGTGGAATGAACATTGAGAAACAAATGAAGATTTATACAAAGAGAGAAGATAAATATGTAGTTCGTTATGATAGAACAACACCGTTATGGGATGTTATGAAAACATTGTGGGAGTGCAAATATTTCGAACCTATTTCTTATGGAGAACTTTTCACATATACGACTGACTTATATAAACAGAACCTTGCACCATTTAAAGATTTGACATATGCTCCAAAGTATTGTGTACAACTGAAGAAGAAAGCCGAGTCAAAAGAAGTAAATAAAAATAAGTGCAAGTTCATTCCTGAGCACGTTTTCTTTGCTGACTTTGAGTGTAGCACAGACGGCTTTCATAAAGCTTTTAACATTGTTATGACAGTGAAGATGGTTCAGTGAGTGAAAGCATTTGGGGTCAGAACTGTGCAACAGAATTTTTGGAACGACTTCCTGACAAGAGTTTAATATATTTCCATAACCTCAGTTATGATATAAACTTCATCTTAAGACACATGACAGAAGTGAAAGGAACTCCCATCATTAAAGGTTCACGAACAATGCAAATAACTGGCTTATATAAAGGAAGGGCAATTATTATAAAAGACTCTTACAGTGTTATAAATAAGAAGCTTAAACTATTTCCTGCTATGTTTAACTTACAAACAGGACCGAAAGAAGTATTTCCATACAACTACTACAGCAGTGTTTTGTTAGCAAATGACAACAGAACTGGTGTCATTTCTGAAGCATGTAAGTTTATAGATAGATACATTCATGAAAAACATAGATTCCATCAAAGGTTGCAGAATAGATGAGAACCACTTCGACTTAGAAAAGTATAGCACATTTTATTGCAAACAAGATGTAAGAATTTTAAGAGAAGGTTTTGTTAAGTTCCGCAATGACATATTGAAAGAATTTGATTTAAACGTTTATGACTACGTTAGTATTTGTTCAATTGCTAACAAATTATTTGAGAACAGAGTGTACTTCCCGAATGGAAATTTATATGACCTCTCAAATAAACCAAGAGAATTTATTTCACGCTGTATTCAAGGTGGAAGATGTATGCTGTCAGATAACATTAAACAAAAGAGCGAAAAGAAACTCATTGCTGACTTCGACGCTGTTTCATTATATCCATCAGCTATAGCAAGACTTTATACTTTAGAAGGTATTCCAAAGGTTATGAAGAAAGAAATGTTAAGCACAGAGTATCTCATGAGACATTTATTCGATGACGACCAAAAGGAACCCATTGGTGAAAAGTTTATGTCTGGCTTCTTTGTTCTCATTAAGATAACAGAGATTGGAATACATAGACACTTTCCTTTAATAGTTTGTGACCCTGAACTAAATCCAGAACTTAACGTTCCCAGAAGTTCAAACACTTGCTGTTTAATGTATGTTGACCATATAACATTACAAGACCTCATAAAATATCAAGGTGTCAAATGTGAAGTGTTGCAAGGATACTATTACGATGGAAACAGAGATATTAGAATAAGAGATGAAGTAAAGAAGTTGTTTGAGTTAAGGTTAAAGTATAAGAAAGAAGGAAATCCTTTGCAAGAAAATATAAAGCTCATTCTGAACAGTATTTATGGCAAAACTATTCTATCTCCTATTGAGTCAAAAATAACCATAGTAAATGACAAAGATGCTATAAGATATGCCATCAGAAACTACAACCATATAGTGAAGTTCGAAGGTTTGGATGGTTCAGATAAAACTATTTTCAAGCTAACGAAAAGCATTTGCAGACACTTTAACTTCTGTCCACTTGGTGTTAACATTCTGTCTATGTCGAAGAGAATAATGTGTGAAGTATTCTGTACTGCTGAGGACTTAGGAATGGACATCTTTTATAGCGATACGGACAGTATGCATCTCTACAATGAAGATATCCCTCGTTTAGCTGAAGAGTTTGAGAAACGTTATGGAAGAGTTCTCATTGGTAAAAACCTTGGTCAATTTCATAGCGACTTTGCAGAAATCACACCTGGAAAACAAAGTTTAGCATACAAGTCAATATTTTGTGGAAAGAAGACTTACATAGACTTACTCACGAATGATTTAAATGAAGTTGCATTTCACTGCAGAATGAAAGGCGTGAAGCAAGATGTTATTGCTTTAACCGCTAATGAAATGTTTCCTGACTCTGTTCAGTGTTTCTATGATGAAGATAAAGGTTTAATTTCCGCAAGGAACATATGACAAAGACTCTGAGTTCAGTTTAATGAAACTTTACAAAGCACTTTATGACGGTCAAGAGATTGGATTTGACTTATGTAAGTCATGTCAACCTTGCTTTGAAAGAAGTTTAACTTCTCAATAACGACTAAAACAAGCTTTATTCGTAAGTTGAAGTTCTGAGGTCATTTATTTTTGTCAGCAATGAGGTCATTCGTGATAAAAATAAAACTAGCGTGATTTACAATACTGCGATGGTAGAGTTTAAGAGTTGTGCTTCAATGTAGAGACAGTCCTTATGGTCTGGAGGTAAGAACACTGGGCAGTTATGGTCATGAGTGGAGAACATGTCTATCCAAAACTCACGATTGAAGCCAGTTAATTTATAGTATTTAGGGTTAGGAAGTGGTGAAGTTCTTGTATGACCAATGAACTCATTTTCAACTCCCTTACTTAAGTTTGAATATAATATAGCTTGCTTTCTATCCCAAATGCCTGGAAATCTAATTTCGGAAAATTCATTTTTCCTCGGAAGCATTGCATCATAATTGAAAACATTCTTGAAATCATCACTTGGTTCAGAGATTTGAAATCTTATACGTAATGGATTTTTTTCTTTTTAGCGACTTCATTGAATGGTGAGAATACAATGAATTGACAGTCATGAGTTCCATCTTCATTTTACAAACTCGTAATGAAAGCTATTAATCTTTCTACAATTCCTTCTTCTTTCAGTTGTGCAAGAAACTCACGTAAAGGCTGTAAAGTTTGTACTTCAATGTTAAACTTCTTTTGAAAATTTTCGTAAAATGTAATTATACAGTCTTCTAACGTTGTATCGTCTTTAAAGTATTTGTATATGTGAATGTTTTGGGCGCTTAAAGACTGTTCGTCATTTTCTATCTCGACTTGAAGTATAAAGTCAACCTTTCTGAAAGCACGTGTTATATACATAGATGTTATGCCAATGTACTTCTCTTCATTTATGTTCACAATCCAGTCTGTTGGAAACTTAAACGTTACTCTGTTCCCCTTTATTTTGACGTCAGGGTTTTCACTACTGAACGCAACAGATAAAGGTATTTGTCTATACATTTAATTCGGATAAAAATAAACCATTTACTCTTTCTTTGCTTCAGCTTCTTTAGCTTTTGCTTCAGCTTCTTCTCTAGCTTTTTCGCCAGTAGTGGGTTCTTTTGTCTTCCAGCAGCTAATGCAGCAAGTTGTTTTTCACTAAGTTTTCTCTTTGGTCTCTCTGGCTTTTGTTCTTGTTTTTGTTCCTTCAGTTCGGATAAAATTTGCTCACGAATTTCTTTCTTCAATGCTTCAACATCTATGACCCCTTGGGTCTTGTCCGTAGGGCTTGTCTGAGTCATTTGACTGCAGATAAAAAACAAAATTAAAACTTTAACCGATGTAAAATGAGCTTGTCAAAATCAGAGCGAGAGTCTATTATATTAAATGACGCAAGAGGAATACAACATCCTTTCTATTACGTAAGTCAGAGTAAAGATGGTAAAATATACGTAAGAAAAAGAAAGGTTCCATTAGCGAATGCAGAAAGCGACAACATTAAGGTGTATGGCAAGGGTGAAGTCCACGAAGCCCATATAAAACCTTCTGTTCAAACTGAGCAATAGAACCAGAAGAAAAGAAGCCAGATGTACTTTCAATAACGAACCAAGAGCTTATTGCAAAGTTCGTGAATTTCATTGAAAAACAAACCGAGTCAAAGAACCTGACCCGCCAGTGAAAGAAGTTGAGACAAAAGAGAATGTACAGTTCATTGAAAATGTCAAGAAACAACTTCCACCACGAATGCCAAGAAGAAGAGTGAGAATAATGAAGTAAATAGATATTTTTATCTGAAGTAAATACATGCAGAACGAACAGCTAAACGAATTTACTCCAGCAGAGCATATTCATCAGATTCGCTCATATTTCGATATCATAGACAATGCAGTTCAAATTGGTGACACTAATAGAAAATATTCTGACGCAAAGATTCCATCACAACCTGGAACTGCTAAAGATAACACATGGGTAACATTCAATCTCTCACCTCCTGGTGAAAATATGTTGGACCTTTACAATACATTCATTACGTATAAAATGGAAGGTCAATTTATTGTAGATAAAGAAATTGGTTCAGGTTCCAATAAAACAAACCCACCAGGATTTTGGATTGGTTTCGATGACGCTTTCTATGCAGTTGCTGGATATCAAATCCTTGCAAATGGTCGTATCGTATATTCTCAAGACAACGCAAGAGAAGAAGCATATATAACTTCAAACTCACAAACTACCGAACAAATAAAGAAAGTAGATGTTTTCTCAAAGACTCGACATGAAGATGTATGGAGTCATTCGGGAACATGCAGAACAGGACAAATTGTTAGTGGTCCAATTACAGCAGGAAAATCATTTGATTTTAAGCTTCGTTTAAGAATTCCTGTTAGAAGATTCCTTCCATTAGAAGCTATTCGATTTATTCCAGCTTTTGCAGGAAACATTCAGCTTAAAGTAAAGTTCAGTAGCGACGCCTTACAATGCACATCTATATCTGTAAATGATATCATTGCTTTCAATCCAACTCTTAAAGTTGCATTTGCTTCAGATTCAAATCCACCGACAAATAAATTTGTTCCATGGAATGAACCATTCACTATGATAACGAAGGCAGTAGAAGCTAGTGGAACAGTTACTATTACAACTGTAACCCAGCAAC